GAGATCAAACTAGCTACAGGCATAAAGGGAAACAAGAAGACCTTTTATAAATACATTAAAAGCAAGAGGAAGACCAAGGACAGGGTAGGCCCACTGCTTAGTGAGGAGGGAGAAGCAGTAACAGGGAACTTGGAAATGGCGGAGATGCTCAATGACTTCTTTGTTTCGGTCTTCACCGAGAAGTCTGGAGGTGTGCCTAACGTAGTGAATACAAGCAGAGAGAGGGTAAGTTTAGAAGATAGGATACACAAAGAACAAGTTAAAAATCACTTAGGAAAGTTAGATGTCAGCAAGTCACCAGGTCCTGATGAAATGCATCCCAGGATACTCAAGGAGCTGATAGAGGAGGTATCTGAGCCTTTAGCTATGATCTTTGAAAAATCATGGCAGACAGGGGAGATTCCAGAAGACTGGAAAAGGGCAAATATTGTGCCCATCTATAAAAAGGGGAATAAGAACAACCCAGGAAATTATAGACCGGTCAGTTTAACGTCTGTCCCAGGGAAGATAATGGAGCAGGTAATTAAGGAAATCATATGCAAACACTTGGAAGGTAATAAAGTGATAGGGAATAGCCAGCATGGGTTTGTGAAGAACAAGTCATGCCAAACTAATCTGATAGCTTTCTTTGATAGGATAACGAGCCTTGTGGATAAGGGAGAAGCGGTGGATGTCATATACCTAGACTTTAGTAAGGCATTTGATACGGTCTCGCATGATATTCTTATTGATAAACTAGGCAAATATAACTTAGATAGGGCCACGATAAGGTGGGTGCATAATTGGCTGGATAACCGTAGTCAGAGAGTTGTTGTTAACGGTTCTAAATCCTGCTGGAAAGGGATAACAAGTGGAGTTCCTCAAGGGTCTGTTTTGGGACCCGTACTGTTCAATATCTTCATCAATGATGTAGATATTGGGATAGAGAGTACTCTTATTAAGTTTGCAGATGATACCAAACTGGGTGGGGTTGCAACTTCTTTGGAGGATAGGGACATAATTCAAAATGACCTTAGCAAGTTAGAGAAATGGTCAGAGGTAAACAGGATGAGGTTTAATAAGGAGAAATGCAGAGTGCTCCACTTAGGAAGGAACAATCAGTTCCATACATACAAGATGGGAAGCGACTGTCTAGGAAGGAGCATGGCGGAAAGGGATCTAGGGGTCATAGTGGACCACAAGTTGAATATGAGTCAACAGTGTGATGCTGTTGCCAAAAAAGCAAATATGATTCTAGGTTGTATTAACAGGTGTGTTGTAAGCAAAACTCGTGAAGTCATTCTGCCGCTCTACTCTGCGCTAGTTAGGCCTCAGCTGGAGTACTGTGTCCAGTTCTGGGCGCCACATTTCAAGAAAGATGTGGAGAAATTGGAAAGGGTACAGAGAAGAGCGACAAGAATGATTAAAGGTCTAGAGAAGCCTATGAAGCCAGGCTTCATGAACTGGGCTTGTTTAGTTTGGAAAAACGAAGATTAAGGGGGGACATGATAGTGGTTTTCAAATATCTAAAAGGGTGTCACAAGGAGGAAGGAGAAAATTTGTTTCTCTTGGTTTCTGAGGACAGGACAAGGAGTAATGGGCTTAAAGTGCAGCAGGGGAGGTTTAGATTGGACATTAGGAAAAAATTCCTAACTGTCAGGGTGGTCAAATATTGGAATAAATTGCCAAGGGAGGTGGTGGAATCTCCCTCTCTGGAGATATTTAAGAACAGGTTAGATAGACATCTGTCAGGGATGGTGTAGACGGAGCTTGGTCCTGCCTTGAGGGCGGGGGGCTGGACTTGATGACCTCTCGAGGTCCCTTCCAGTCCTATTATTCTATGATTCTATAATGAAATAAGATTTTCACTAACTGTTACCATATTTGACCTGAGTACCTGGATGGAGGCCTGAGGCTGGGTACTTCAAGGGAACTGTGTAATTTGGACATCTGTGTAACCAGTGAGGTAGTACAGGAGCTGTTTTGTGTTGGCTTGGTAAATCTAACTGTTGGACTATCCACCAGCTTTAGGGGTTTGTCTGCCCTATTCTGTTTACAGTTCACCCTAATTGAACGACCACAGCTAGCTCCCACAGGGACCACAGTTACAATGGGAAAGTGTGAGAAACATGCTGCAGAACCTAAGAGCTTCAATAAGTTTATGTTCCATTTTCTTCCCGTGACTCATCTCACTTCCCTTCCCCTGCTCAGAAACCTCTTTGTCGTCCATTTTTGCTTTTCTTACAGGCCCTTTGCTTTCAAGACCCCTGTGACCTCTTGCTTCAGTGCCACAGACATCCATTTGCTTTGCTTCCAGGCTTCTCCCCTTCCTGGCTAGGATATGTCTTCACTGCACCATCAGCCCAGTTTGATGCAGGTTCCAGTCCCTGATCACACAGCAAACTGTCTGACCCAGGTGCGGTATTCCTTTCAGACTGGGCTATCTTACTCGACTGGGTGGAGTGGGGTGTTAAGTGTCTGGGCTTCACTTTTATTCCCTGGAAACCCACCCAGTGAGAATGTGGGCAAACACCACCCAGGTGCTGACAGTCCTCCAATGCCTTCCCACAATTCCCTGCACAGAAGAGACAATTTCTCCTGCAGTTTCTCCTGTAACTAGCTGGGAAAAAATCCTCGAGCATCTCACTGCAAAGAACCATGGGCTATACCCACAGACTCACAAGGGGACGTACAGACCCAGTGAGGACACAATAAGGCACATAGGGCTTTGCAGTGGGGGCTCTTACCCTTGGATTAAGCTAATCTGGGTGCTCAGATCTACGTGACAATCACCCACACTAACTGCAGTGAAGACGACCCTCCCCCAGACACCTCCCCATTCTATTCATGATGCCAGGTTCATTCTTGTTCCCATTCACCATTTACGCAACCTCCTGATGCTGGGCTACCAATTCCTCTCCTTCCAAGTCCAACTCCCTTCCGGCTTCATTTCTCCCAAGGCATCTGATTGTTCCAGTTGTAGCGGACTTCCCATCCCATCGCTATCTAGTGATTGTTTCCCCTACTTCTTGCCACCTGCTAGTACTAAAATATTTACAGCTCTCTGCGGGGGAGAGGGGGCTTCTAGGAATAGAAATGTGTTAAATTATTAATGACTCAAATGTCAGCTAGAGCTGGACAGTTTGGTAGCAAGAGATTCTGATTGAGAGGAAATGAGCACCTTGCAGGAGATCTTGCCCTTGGTTCTTCTCTCTTGCTGGAAAACACCAATCCTTGGCTCCTTTCAGTAGCTGAATCACATTTGTTTTGAAACATAATTCATTTAACAAATATGTGTCAGCTGAGCTGTGGTTACTCATCACAAATCGCCTCCCAGAAAATAGTGCCACCATTTGCACAAAAAAAACCCTTGCAGCACATACAAAGGGAGAAAAAAAATCACCGTTGATTCATTCAATCAATCACCTCTCTGGCAATGTCAAATTATTTTTCTGATAACATTTCTATATAATGAGGCGGACTTGCAGTTACAGCACAGAATTGGGAATCAGGAGACCTGCATCCTGTTGCTGGCTCTGTCACAGTTTTCTTGTGTGGCCTTCTGCAAGTGACCTAACTGCTATGTCCCTCAGTTTCCCTAGCTGTAAAATAGGGCTAAATAAATAACTCTGCCTTTTATAGTGCTCTCAACAGGGGGTGGCAAAGCCCCTTCCAGGGGAAGAATTGTTATCTTCTTTTTACAGAAGGGCAAGCTGAAACTTAAAGAGGTTAAGTCACTTGCGTAAGACCACACAGCAAACCACTGACAGTAGCAGGAAAGAAATACAGGTCTCCTGATTGATAGGCCCAGATCTGAACCATTAGACCACAATGTGGACTGATAGTAGTACTTTCCTGCCTCTCTTGGGGATGTTTCAAGGCGAATCTATTAGCAGGTGTAACGTATTGAGAGCCTTACAGGGAAGGTCTGACAAAAGTATGAAGTGTTATATAAAAAGATATATATGTAAAGAGTCACCTTTTGTTCTTTGAGGATCACTGGAAAAAAATTAAAATGTAGTGAATCTTACACTGAAATAACATCAGCTGTAAACAAATAGACAAAGAACCACATTTTCTTCAGTAGCAAAGTATGCACTGTTACCCAGATAACACAACAACAAAGGTATTGCTACCTACAAACTTCCCAGTTCTTATTATGCAACACACCATGCCATGACACACAGTGAAGCGGTTCTGATTTCTCCCTCCAGAAGGCAGCAGTATACATACACCCTAGCCAGCTCACTACAATAATCTTGCCTCCAGGTATCTCAAGGAGTTTTACAAATCCTAATGAATCAAGGTTCATGACACCAGGACAAGGTAGACAAGCAACTCCGCAGCTGACAGACAATTATCACAATATGACATCCTGAACTGGTTCCTGTATTGAAGTGATGTGCGTATGGCACAAAGGTCAAGCAGAACTGGAAGGAAACAGGCTAGATGCCCTATATATACAGCTCTCTCAGGATGGAGGAACTTTGCCTAGACGTTCACATGGCTAACCTAACACCTGCCTTTGAGTCCTTGACTTACCACTTGCAACTTGACTTCATGTCTTTTCTCACTCACCCTACAACACCTTCAGAGGCCCACCCAACCCTTCAGTTTGAACTAAGGATGTAAAATCCTGATTAATTAGTTAAACTTTATGATTAACCAGTTAACTGATTAAAGAGGGGCATGCGGGGGTGCTGGAGCATCTGCCATAGCCAGGGGCTGCTCTGCCCTGATTGGAGCACCCCCCACCTGCAGCAGGCCCTGCAGAGCTGGAATAGCCCCCTGCCCACGGCTATTGAGTGTCCATTAAGGGTGAGGCTTACTGGTTAACCATTCACATCCCTAGTTTGAACAGCTGCTGTTTTATCCTCTCTGCCCCAGCTTGGCTCACCCTCTTAGGGGGTCTAGTGCTTGTCTAGTCCTCCCCTCCCCCTCTTGAACTTTGCATTTCCCCCTAACTAGCCAGGGAGTCCAGCAGAGAGTGCATCTCATCACAGCCAAATCCTGCAGCTTACCTCCTGGACCATTTGGCAGACTGCCTCCCAAAGGGTCTCTTCCAGAGCACTCCATACAGCTGCACTTTGGTGCTAATATCCAAGGCATCCGAGTCTGCCTGTTCCATGGATGGGGAAGGGGAGACAGAGTTGGATTTTGAAGTGAACATCGTCGTCGGATTTTATTCCAACTCTCCCCCTTTGCCTGGCAGCTCAGAGAATCCAATTAAATGCAACGACCCAGAAGGACATCACCAGCCACGCCGGCAGAGACTGAGGCTACGGTTTAAATCAATAACAGGACTGCTCGGTGCTCAGACAATCACTCCCCCCCGATGCAGAGATGATGAGAGTGCCTGCATGATGCGTTACCGAGAGCGCAAACGTCCCAGCCCATGAGACAGAGGGCTGAAAAGAGCCACAGACCAGCTGGTTATACAGAGCGAGCGTACTCAGGAATAGCGCAGCAAGCCGAATGATCTGTGGGAGAGCCAGGGCGAGAGGATGGCTATTGCACCGAACACTCAGGAGCCCCCAGATGGGAGTCAGAGGGGGCAGTCTGCAAATTGCCAGCCTGGTTTCTGTGACACATGCCCCAAAGTCTTGTGCCTGCGTAGGAGTTCTTCTGATTGGCTTGTGGGGAAAGGTGAGCAGAGTGGGTGTGAATCAATGGGCTCCAATCAGACTTGCTCAGCCATTTGGAGAAGTTGCTTTTCCGAGCCAGTCTGGAAGCCAGGGGGTAGGATTCATGTGCTTGCTCTGGCCTGAATGGGTATTGTCCGTGACACCAGTCTCATTCTTCCTTAAAGGGCCATTGCCAGCAATAAACACACGTATTATACAACCCGACCATCTCAGCTCTGCACATTTCTGCACCTGAGCAGTGTGGGAGACACGACCCCTTCTGCTGCCCCCAGGTGAGCGTCAGCCCTCCACTCATCTCTTCTGACTCCATTGCCCACCCCACGGCAAGTCTGTCCAAAAGACAATTCTTCCACAACACTCACAAGAAACCCCAGCATAATGTTGTTCCAAGTGCCTCCTGCCTGCATCCTGCCTTCTTGGTCTGTCTCTGACCGAAAACTCAGGCAGGCCCTGCCTCCTGGATATCCTTTGCTTCTGCTGGGTGTGGCTGGTGAGGCCATCGCTCTGCTGAACTGCAACGCTGATGGCACCTGCAATTGTGAAAAGAAGCAAATACTTATGGCAGGGTGTGGGCCTGGGAGGAGTTCAGCTGGACTCACACTGCATGCAAGACAAAGAGGGATACTGGGATCCATACAGTCACTTTTTCTAACTCGTGCTGGGAAAGAGGTCAGCACATGGGAGTTAAAACTATATTCTTAAAAAAAAAAATGGTTCCTGGAATCATTTAAGGACCACAAGCACTCAAGGCCTTGACTTTATGTTTCAGCATCAGCTGAGAGCACATCCAACAGCACTGACTGCATATGTAATGGGTTAGGAGACCTCAGATCACCTTCCTGCTGTGGTAGACTCTGTAATTTAGCCTCAGCAGGACTTTATACATTATGCAGAGTTAAATCTCTCTGTGAGAGAGTGGAGAAAGGAGGGCCTGACCCCCCCCTCCCCCAGGGGTTAAAGCCTCTGGGCCCAGCTAGTCCTCCCTATTTTACCTGTTTTTACCACTACCAGGCCTAGAGCAGGGAGAAAAGGAAGGAGCCTGGCTCAATTCGGAGTTGACTAGCAAGGAGGCAGGAGTTTGTGGGTCTGAGGGCATGAACTAGAGCCCACCCACCCAGCAGCCACGGGAGCAAGTAAGCCCCTGCTCTACCCCTTTGGGAACCTATTGGGAACTCTAACTGGAATTTGGACTCTTGGAGTCAGGCCGCGAACTTAAGGACTGAAATATAGGAAGGGGGCTAGAGTTCCTGGGCCGGGAGGGGGGGCCTCCCCCACATTTTCCACCCACCTACTCAGCAACCTAAGCTCTAGGCTCCTCAGCCTCCAGGGACCCAGCCACAGTCTGACAGGATAGTAACACATTTCTAAATGAAAATACTTCAAATCTGTCTGTCTCTGAATACAGATGTTTGTTTATACCCCTAGAAACCACTGTGATTATGGTCACACACAACTCCTTTAAAGCTAAGACTTTTTGGGGGGATATTTCTCTCCAAGTTTTAGTACCTGTTACTATCACAGTTGCAAATGTCAAATAGAGTTATGCCCACAGATATAAACTTAGAATCATAGGATCATAGAACCATAGAGTTGGAAGAGACCTCAGAAGGCCATCAAGTCCAGCCCCCTGCTCTAGGCAGGACCAATCCCAACTAAATCAACCCGGCCAGGGCTTTGTCAAGCCGAGACTTAAACACCTCGAGGGATGGAGACTCCACTACTTCCCTTGGTAACCCATTCCAGTGCTTCACTACCCTCCTAGTGAAATAGTTTTTCCTAATATCCAACCTGGACCTCTCCCACCACAACTTGAGACCATTGCTCCTTGTTCTGCCATCTGTCACTACTGAGAACAGCCTTTCTCCATCCT